TCAAGGGCAATATGCTTTCAGCTCAACATGCGAGGGCATGACTGTGGAGAATTATGCTCCCCAAAGAAATCACTTTCATGAAATGGCCCAGTCAGGACATAATCCACCAGCTGGTAGGGGCAAACAAGCCTCTTTCAGTGCTGCTAACAGTATTCAGGATGGCAAGCGAGACTCCGATATCTCCGTGTATAGGGTGAGTCACTAAAAGCCTCATCTAGCTTGTGCTTGCCAGCCGGTGTGGCGGCTGCAGGCACGGTATCCTTGCCTCATCACTTCGAACTCTCATTAATTGCCTCTCTGTGTCGTTCAGCGGGCCCTAATGGTGCTTGTGAATTTATGCACATTGCAAGAGGCGTTTCCTGTAACTTCTTGCTCTTCGCTTGCCTTCAACCATGATCCGTGGGTAACAGGAATTAGGAATTACTGCAAATCAGCCTACAAATTTCAGGCTTTCAAGTGTGGATCGACGTTGTTCTTGAAGTATTTGGTGCTTGTGCTCTTAATGGTGCATACGTACTTGCTCGTGCCGTACAGCAGCTTTCGCGAGCGTTTCTGCAGCTGCATGCTTTTGCTGGTCTAGAAAGACAGCTTCCTCTAGAATTGGCAGTGTCCTCTGGATGCACTCATAAACTGAAAACAAAGAGAATGTTTCAGGGGGTTGATACTATTGAGCTGTCACTGTACAGGAAGCACCACAGTGGCTGCATCGCACGTTACTGAGTTCAACTACACACAGTCAGCTGATTATTGTCCACAAAAGCAAGACTGCTGCGTAGAGCATTGGGTATGCGAACCCTGGCACATGCGTGCTTGTAACGCGGCATGTTGCTGTTGTAGTCCTCCTGATGCGCTTGAGATACAGGAATCAAGCTCTCACGGCCGAAGTGGGTATGCGGCGCAGAGGAGAAGACCTTCTTTGGCCATAGAAGTTTTGTGGATATGCTTGACGTTTGGTCCAAACATGTCGATTTATTAGAGGTGACTATATACCGTTACACGTATTTAATGTATCCTCGCTGCGGGTCAAGAATGCACTTGGTGGGGTGGAGCGCCGATGGTTTGTTTCCGTCTTTTTCTTGGTAAGTTTCTAGAGGCATTAAACTGTTTGACTTGTGTGTCCGAAATCCATGTTGTTAGACTGCCTCTTGCACCTTCTCAGCAGGTTAGTGCAATAGTGCTTCCCACTAGAGTATTGCACAGGAACAAACTCTATGGGTTGACGCATTTATCTTTTGCAGGAATGAAGATGCAACAGTTAAAGAAACCTGCTACAGACTAGGCCCCCAACGTTTCCTGCCGATAACGCTGGCTTCGAGGCTTGTAGTGTGAGCCCAGCGAACGGCGGCATGCATACGCAGGGACCCCAGTGGCTAGTCTTGTTTAGTATCATGCTGTACACGTCTGCAGGAACGTCTGATTGCATTCACAAGCCCACATAAGCGTGGCTTCTGTGGCAAAAAGCGAACGCGTGTAAAATACACAGCGTTTGTGAAATAGAGCTGCTGTGGTCTCGGATGATTTTCTGGATATTTCTCGAGTCATCCAGCTGTTATGCTTGTTGCATTCGACAATGTCGGGGAGTCCGGGGCTGCTGCACGAACGGCTGACAGAGAAATGTTCTATTGAGAAACAAGGCGCAGCCTAAAGTCATTCACGCTCTCATGCATAATTTCGACAGTTGCCGCTATTCAAACCATTGAAGCTGTTTGCCGTTCATCCAGCAATGCCGAGGCTGACTCCTTCTATACTTTTCTAGTGGTAGAATGGTGTCAGGCAGGCGGCAATAGGCGATTGAATTGAGATGCATCATTGCCTTGAGGTCATCTGTCATAGCAGGGCCACACTGGAGCGTTATGCGCTTCTTCACATTCAGTGGAAGTGAACTCGCCGCGTTAAACTGAACAATGCACTTTTGTCGCTCAGCTGCCATCTGGGGTAGGAATGATCGACGAACGACATCACCCTGGACAAATTTTACTGCGAGTTTCTTTTCCACGTATAGAGCTGCCAAGAGAGTTAAAGGGAGAAGCATATTGTTGGCATAAATGAGCAGGACGCATATAGCAAGAGCTTGAGGCGGAGACTCAAAAAAAGAAGACAACTGAAAGGGCTGAACCATCTTGACATTTAAACTGAAAGAAAGTAACAGAAAAACCCACAGTAGTCGCGATGCCATCCTGAGGAGTGACTAAACTTTTTTGGCTGGTAGAATCATGGATGAGAGACAAGAGTCATGTTCTTGAAAGTTGATGCAACAGCGGCGACTGAAACGTAGTTTAGGCGCTGAGAGGCGCAATTGTGCCCTTCAGGCAAAGATTGCAGCTGTTTCTAAGAAATGCAATGCTGCCGCTGCGTGAAATCGAGCGCCCTGGTGGCCGCGGGGCGACCGAAGTTCATGTCGCTGCCTACCTTCACCGTAGTGCGCGAGAACTACAATGGGCTCAGTTGGGGCTCCAGAAACCAACAATACAGAAACACTGGGAATTTCAGTTGAACTGGCTTAAGTTCCACTGTGGCTAAGGCTCAGCCGCTGCAACCCGCCGTACGCTGTGTCCCCAGACAGATTCCGATGCCACCCCGAGTGCAGAGCACCGTCCTATTCCGTGGGGAGTCTAGTTGCAGGCGACAGCCCGTCGCCTTCTGCTTGCCCTCATTGGAGGTCCCTTAGGTAAAGCCAGTGTCAAGGCACCCATTATACGCTCAGCGCGCCTCCCGCATACTACACCGGACAGCTGTTCCGGGATCCATATTTACCAGAAGTAATCCCGACGGGCTACGCTTCATATTATGCACAGTTACTCCGAGACATAACACAGTTACAATCAACTGTGTTGCTTACCGGGATATTGGAGCCTCCAGTCGCCTATCCGCGGATATCTAGCGAAGGCAGTAAAATCATCAAGAACTTTCTGGAAATGGGTGAACTACGATTCACGGTGTATGGGCTAGAACAACCGAAGTGCGGCCTGGAGCTTGCGGAATATCACGAATGGTACGCCATGGGGTACAGGCTAGACCTGAGGGCCACCCGCACGGATAGGAAAAACTGGGCAGAGCTGATGCATGGCATACAACAATGCATTAGCAAGGAAACCCGGGAGTAAGTACTGCCCCGATGTGCCAGCAACTGGTGGAGAGGCAACCATCAGCAGTACCTGACGATGTGGGAGTGCCGATCCCTGCAGCCGACCACGTCAGTTGTGTTTTCTGGTGGGATTGCCCCTCGAGTTGAGCAGCGCGACCACCTGCGAGGAAACGGTGCGATTTCCGCATTGGAGCGCACCAGCTGCAGCGCTAATGGGAGCCGAACCCCCGTGGGTGCAGGCATCTGAGGAACTGCGCAAATGGCTGCATTCGCTGGACGCTAGGCGACCTCCCGCGCGACCGGACAACATCAGTAGACCTGTATTCACAAGGGCGAGAACGAACCTCCGTAGCCCGAAGTACGAGGCGGAAGTGCACTGCTACGACTCTAAGGGCATGGGACATACGGTACGGGACTGCTCCTCCCTCGTCCCGGAGCGGGGTTCTGCGGAAACATGTATGCGATGCGGTGGATTGAGGTACTACTCCAAGGATTGCTACACCTCTGCCCGTCCATGGTGAGGCGCTGAGGACGGGCCCAGAAAACAGCCACAGCAGTCCAATGGTAAGACGAAACGTTTAAACGAAAGATCCTAGGTATCAGCGGAGAAGAACGTACTAGGCATGATGCATGTTGCAAGGCCACCATACATGCAGTGGCGACAAAGCCCAACGCCATCCTCGCCTCCAAAGAACGGGGCAAAGGGTTGTTTGGAGGAGGTCACCGAACAGGTGCAGAGACGTCGCAGAGGGGCGCAAGGCTACAGACTATAGAAGAACATAGGCGATCGGAGTTGGTAAATATGTCGCAAATGTAGGTGCCACCCAAGAAAGAAATTAGCTTTGCAGAGAGAGGTCGTGTAGATGACGAGGGCGCTGTTCCAATGGATGGTGCTGACTTGCCTGTGGTGGAAAGAATTTGTGCAGCAGAGGGAATGAAATTAAGCAGTGTGTTGTGTAGCACGGGTACGACTGCAGTGCTCCGCGTTGAAGTGGGTGGGAAGCCTTGTAAAGCACCCCTAGATGATGGGGCTTTCAGCTGTTTCGTTAGCCCTAATACAGTGGAAGGCATACAGTTCAAGGTGCGGCAGCTACCAAAGCACTGTGTGTTTAATATCGCCAAGGGGGACAAGTTGCATACTGATCACGTTATGAAGTGGCTAACAATGTGGTGTGCGAGAGAACATTTCTCGACAAACGCTTTTGTAGGACCGACAGCCTAACAGTTGTTGCTGGGAATAGGCTGGTTCACTGGACATACGGTAGCATGGTATTTCCAATGCATCAACCAATCTATTTGCGCGGCAGCTGCTGTGAACTACTCATCGTCGGAGTATGCATGGACCATTCCGCCCCGGGCCGCCCTAAAGGAGCAATTCAAAGGACCCGTGCGGAGCGAACAAACGGCTTATGGGCTAACAGCTGAACATAACTTCGGAAGAAGCGGCAGTGCTTCTGCCCCCGCCTCCTGAAAGGTCCAAGTCCCACACTAAGGCTATAAGCTGAAGATCGATGCTCTACTTCACGAGGCGAGCAAAGAGACGAAGAGCGCAAGGGGTCATCTGCGTTTCCGGGCTAGCCTTTCTTGATACTGCGGCGACCACGGCTACCAACTCTACGGGCTGAAGGGCAAACGGAGCTCCGCTGTGAGGTGGTCGCTCACCACGCCACTAGCGCTGGGGAGAGTTCTCTTGTAACCGCGGGCTACTTATAATGACAGCCATACATATTGCTTGCTATATTTTTTGCTATCGGCATGACCTGCTGCATTCCAGCGGGCTGCGTCCAGATTCGCAGTGAAATGTGTACGGACTTTACTAGTGACGGCTCCCAGTTTCTGAACTTTTCTTTGATCGGGATGCAGAAGGTTGTCGCTGGAGTATTCCACGGCTTCTGTGACAACAGCGGGATGCAAAATGTTTCCAGCGGAGCGCAGCGGCTCCAAGCGATTCTGTGGTATAGAGACAAGAGCGATCCCTACGAAGGGCGCTGTCTGCCGCAGCCAGGACAATGGCAGACAGCGGGGATCGTTTCTCTTCATTGTGAAAGAAGCTGTCATATGCGTAATTCAGGACGGGGACGACGTTCAGCGTGCCTTCACGTCAACGCATTGGCTGTTCTGGATACAGAACCCGTAATGCAGTATTTCAGGACGCCCAACAGCTCATAGTGGCGAAACGTTGTAAAACTCCTCAACTGGATTGACAGTAGGCAACTTGAAGCCTGTCATGAGAAGAGAAAGAATCCAGCACAGTAATCTCCATGTGCACTGGTGCTTTCATCGGCAGGTAATAACTTTCGGTCAGCACTGCAGCTAGATCTAGGTGCAAGGAAAGCAAAACAGCTAACTGGGCAGGAAACAAAAGCCGTAAGACCCCTAGATATTTCAGCAAATTTCTGTTGCAAAACCTCGTGTAATCGCGAGATGGCCAGGTATACAATGCTGACCGGGATAGGACTGCGAGCTGAGGACGGAGAAAAAGCTACAGAGAGATAATGGTACTGCAGGAAAATTCACTAGCAGCGGACTTTATGTCCTCTGGTAAACACATTAGAATAAGGAATGTTTAAAAGTTTCTGTTTCGCATTTTGCCGACCATGGGTTATGGTGTCGGGATCACGTGTGAAGCACCTACGCATACTACTGCAGACGCCAATGGCGGCATGAGGCTTTTCATGTTGCGCTGTTGGGTCTTCCTGCAGCAAATTTTTTCCAAGTTAACATGCGGCAAATGGCCAACTCCGGACGCTGTCGCAAAGCGTATTCAACGAGCTCTGCAACAGCCATCCACCTTTTTAGATGATGGGCCTCTTGCCCCTCTTAAAGTAGCCGGGCCTTTGTCACAACCAGCTTCACAATATCGCCCTGAGAGCGCAGTATGGAAATGTTTACCGTCGACCCCACAGAAATATGCGCGACGGCAGCTCTTTCAGCTCGCCTGCTAAGTTGCATTTTAAGCAAAATCAGATCATCGACTGGATACTTGTTTAAGTTGTACTGTTGAATGCAATATACCTGTCTCTGGCTTAAGTGAATTAGAAAAATCTGAACTTGGTTTCTAGTGAAAAGGCGGCAGAAAAGCCCAGGACGGCAACTACAAGGCACAGCAATATGTTGCCAATCCCGGCTCCTGAATACTCTCACGGAATGGCGAAGGAAAGGACGAGGCTGTAGATATTGAAGCAAGTATATACCACGAGGTAAAATCAGCGTTGCGTCTGGCTGAGGGACGAAGCAATAACGCGTACGCAATGGCCCCTTCGCAGCAAAATGTCCCACTGCTCTCAGAGAGAAGATGAAATGCACGGGTATTATGCCGACTGAAATACTGCTGCTGCCTTGCATGCAGTCCTAAGTCTCGTGTGGCCGTCGCGACTATGCTCACACGTACTCTTCGCATCTTCGACCGAAAAAACAAAAGTTTTGTACACGGTGTACCCTTTGTTTGGATGTGCGGTCCCTTCGCATGAGTGAACGGGTGGCTTTCATTGGCGTCGCACATATCCTGGCGGATCCTACAGGGAAGAACAAAACCTTCAGCTTGCCGGTACAGCAACCTGCTGCATCTCGCCAGACAGCCCTGCTCAAATTGATCCAGAAGCTCTACGAGTGCCTGGAAGCTAAAAATATTGTGCACCTTTGCTCCGGCGGAACCACCGCCTGCCTCGAGGCAACTTAGATTGCATGTGTACTCCAGGTGACACTTGTTTTCTGAGTTGCCTCTGCCATGGCCACAGGACAGACCAAATGCCAATATTCACTTCATGGGTCTTCACTGAAAGTCTGAACCAGATTGGCAGTATGTGTTTTACATGCCGTCTATCCCGCCGCCCCCGATATTGCTCACACCACTTACGAATCCTCCTTCATTGCTTGTTAGCCCTTCTACGTCCCTTCGTAATTGCTTTTCTGCCTCCACTGCAGGCTAGGTAGACTCCTCTGCGCCATCAGATCGATTGACCATACCCACCTGCTGATAATGGTAGCTGCTTTCTACATTTAGGGGAGACCTCCATGGGCTTGGTCGCTGTTGTGCCTGCTTTGGTGGTTCATCTACCAGGCTTCCAGCTTGCAGTAGTGATGCCTCCAGAAAAACGTTGAACGCTGGCTTGCTCGTTGAAACGTGTACTCGTTGCGTTTCCAGTGCTGGTGCTTGGTGCCCTATATGGTCTCAGGCACGCCTATGGCAATTCCTGTCATAGCGCTTCACCTTTGTTCGTGTCTTCTCGTCTGTGGCATTCGTTTGTTTAATATCCCCTCCACCTGCAGTTCCACCGCATGCTTTTTTTTTTGTCTGCCCGTAGTTCCTCTTTAAATAGCTTGGATGTCCAGGGGAACGTTGTTGCGCCTCCCTGCAATGGCCGCAGGCCGTGGGGCTTCCGTCGCCTCTTCCTGCAGTGGCGCCTCTATTATTCTGGTCTCCGTGCCTGACATCGCTAAGTGAAGACTTTCCAGAGTAACGCCGCTACCTCCCATCCCGTACCACAGCAAGGTATCGTCTTACTAGTATCGTTACCTTAAAATTGTGCCGATTAATATATTTTGTTAGTTTCTACTGTTATTTCCCCACGGAAACTTCGCGCCTTTGGAGCGGAAGTAGCGGCATACTTAGATGTCCTAAAAGCAAAGAAATTGATGACTAAAAATGAGCTGCACAGGATATGCACTCTGCTATTAGGCAGAGTGATCGACGGGGAGAAATGACTTTCAAATGATAGCAGCTGGCAGGTTTACAAAGTTTAAAAAAGCCAGAGCTAGCATGGTTGAAATACAGTGAATCAGGTTACGAGAGTTTTGATAACTCCACGATGAAGCTGATTACAAAAGCCTGACGATCCATCATACAACGGATTGAAGTAGCAAAGAAGGATTGGAATAGTACAAAGTGTGCTGAACTTGTGGAAGGGGAACTGAAAAAACTGTTATATTATGATGAGCCTTAATATTTTACATTATCGAGCAGTTGTTCAGTGGAAGATGAATCAAACTTGGATTAGCCTGGTTCCTAACATTTTCTGTCACTAGCCTTCGCTTTCGCTTCCAAGGTTCTGAGAAGCCCAAGATACTACTCCGTGCACAGCCCAGCCAGAAAAGATACTGGAGATTTCCGTTTCTACCTAAAGCTGCAAACCTTGTGGAGCCGTGTTGCTTTGGGCTCCAGCTGTGGACAGCCTTGTTCGTTCATAGCAAAACTGTGCGATGCATGCTCTCTGGAGCGTCAAGCGGCTACTACTTGCGTAGAAGTGATTTTAATACAGTGAATATCCGTCGTGGAATACGACTAAATTGCCTCTATATCAAAGCGCTAGAGCTATGGCTGTAGAATGTCCCAGAACTCTATTTTGCTTTCGATTTTTTTTGAAAAAATTCCTATGGAAGCATGAACTGCGCGATTGGAGGCGTTGGATTCTCTCCAGTTGCAAACAAAAAAATACATGTCGGCTGATGAAAAAAAGCGTAGATTCTTTTGCTTATTACAGACGATACCGGTTATAACACCTTCTAATTTGCGATTGACAACTTTAGACATATTCGTGTTACAGCTAAGGTTTCTGTAGAGACGCAAGAACCCTCAATCTGCGAATGCGAGTTGCTTCAGCTCCCCAGTTGTCTTTGAGTACTACATAAACCCGCTGTGTCACCCAGCCAGCTCCATCGCAGAATGCATCGCCGTTGCCCACTATCTGATCTTCAGTATTCTGCAATTCACCAGGAGGCTTGTCGAGACAGAATACTTGAACGGCCTGAGTTCGTGCACAGCGATACTCGAAGCTTCCTACTCGACACAGCTTTTCAGCTTCTTTAGTACCCCATGTGGGGAAAATCTCCTTGCTGGAAAGCAACCTTGGGCAAGCATCTTCAGTTTGTCCTTCTAGGCGAACGTAGATGGAAAACCAGTGCATTTCAACAGGGTCGCAGTGCGGAGATGCTGTTGCAGTTGTTTCTATGGCAATCGCAAAGATCAGAGCACGTCGCCCCAGGGAAACAGCTATTTGGCCGTGCTTCTCCGTAAGCAGGTATGTAGCGTTGCTGTCGTAAACGAGGCGGCCTGGATCATTTTTGTAATTGTAGAGAGGGAAGTAACTTCGAAGAAGCCTCGTGTCTTCGAATTCTGGAGCTGCAGATAGGGGCGAATGAGCTGTAAAAGTATCACTACGCATGTTGGGCATCGCGAACGAAGCTACTGCTTGCAACAACTCTGATAGAACAAGGGCTGCTTGGGAGACACCCCCAGAAGTTCGAGCATAATCGATAAAACCGCCAGCATTTCTTGCCGCGACATCTTCTCCTAGAGCCTGGCATTCTTTCAAAGCTGAATCGAGACCTATACCACAAAGTTCTTCTCTAGATTCATCGCAAGTATACCCGAGCAGTGCACACTGAGGATGCGCTTTACATGGGTGAACAAGATAAAAGCGGCCACGTACTGCTGTGCTGCTGTTTCCAGGGGAGTCCAGAGGAGCACTGATCTCAGCAAAGTTTGACCACGTGGCGGCGTTGTGTGATCGTTGCCAAACCAGATAGCAAGCACAACTGGCAGCTACAAAAGCAGGTACTGCCCACCGTAAAGGCTTTCGTGAACGTTGCGCAGGCGGATGCTCTCTAAACTTACGAACTAGCCACCCGATCAGCTTCCGAATGCCAAAATATCTCATCAAGAACTCATGATACAGGAAACACAAGCTCTTCCAGGTAAGAGTGTGTGCCTCCCTCTTCCTGTAGACAATGAAACTGCTTGCATCTGTAGACTCACGACGACCTGGACAAAGAGTTTGTCTTAAACGTTGTAAACTCCAGAATCGTGGCTGCCCTCTTGCAGGCATTGAGACTTTGCGACCTGTCATGGCTTCTGGAAAGAACATCTGCGCAGGCGAAAGCAAGATCTGATGATCATCACCATTGTCGCTAGTCTCAGGATTTTGTAGTCCAGCCGTAAACCTGACAACCGACGTGTCGGAACTCTCTGTTCCTCTGCTGCGACCACGACGCTGCTGTAATGATGATAATGGGACATCGACACCAATGCCACTGGATGTCTCATGGCTTTCACTTGTTGTTGCAGAGATGTTGGTCGGTCCGTTCTGTGTTTCTGTCACCACGGGTAAATTTAACGGAGCAGTTTCCTTGGAGAGCCGA